ATTTTTATTGCTCATATTTATTAGAGTTAGACAAATAATTTTAGTTGTTATTTTCTATTAGAACAAATGAAAATTTTCATTTAAAATATTGAATTCTAAAAAAATAAAAAATAAAAAAATAACGGGGCGGGGCGGGGCCCCCCGGGTATCGGGTTTGTCGAATTTTTTTGCCATCCCTAATTTTAAGATATCCAATTTCATCACAAAATTTATAGGGTAGATCAAGTGTTTGGTATAAGTTATTGTATTTTGTTACATTAATTATAGGGACAATTGCAGCAAAAGTCTCAAACCTTTGAAACATTAGTAAACTTCTCCTAAATCATTGATTTGTTGCAGCCGTCACCTCTAACATTTTCAAACATTGCATGTAAGGTCCTTTTGGATGTTTTCCATCCATTTTCGTCAGTTGACCCAAAAAATTAATTTTGACCAATTTTAGTAAGGGCAAAAGGTAACTTTGCATTTTATATATTTTTAAATATTATTAACAATTAAACTAAAAAGAAAAAAGAAAATATGCCACACCCACCCCTACCTCCATGCCATCTGCACCTTCAACTTCGGCCAGCCACCATCCAAACCGTCGGACATACATACCATTAGAAAGCCCTCATCACCCTCTACAACGTCCACCCAATGCCCTGCTTCGAATCCACCTGAACTTGCTGAAAAATTGAGCCAAAATAGCCTGCTCAAGTCCTCAAAAAGGGCCAAAACCTCCAATTCCGGCAACACTCATGTCATGCCCAACATTTCAGGTAATTGTACACATATAGGCGCCCATCATGGTCATCAATCATCTTTAAACGCACAGAAACAAAACCAGCAAACTGCATCTTCGAACACAGCCATTGAGCGACTTTCAAATGGCTTTTCCGGCACCGGTGGTGCGACCTATGGTCACAGACAACCACCACAAGCACCTACTCTTCATGGTGCGTCTAATGAACATATGAGTCTTCTCCAATTTGACCTAAATAGATACCCAGTGCACTTCTTCAAATTACCCAGTCCACTTCTTCAAATGAAATTCGCTTCACATTCATACATATCCAGTGCACTAAATAGATATTGGGTTTGATTGTGGTGGTGGTGATTTACTGTGGTGGTGCCGTTACAGAGGAGGATGCCTGTCATGAGCCGGCGATGGTTTTCTTTTCCTTTTTAAATTTTTTTATTCAATTATCATTTTATTTAATTATTTTAATAGATGTTTACCGTTTGACCCCCTTTTAATTGATTAAAAATATGGTCAAAATTAATTTTTTGGGTCAACTGATGGAAAAATGGATGGAAACCATCCAAGAGGACTTCACATTCAATTGTTGAAAATGTTAGAGGTGACTGCTGTAACAAATCAAATGTTTGGGAAAAGTCTGCTAATGTTTCAAAAATTTGGGATTTTTGCTGCAATTATCCCTTAATTATAACAAATTTTTGAAAAATATTAAGTTCATGTTTGACAATCATTATTTTTAAACTTTTTTTTCTACGTATTCATTTTCATCCACACATTCATTCAATAAAATATTGTACACGTAAACTTAAATTTTTTTCTATTTTTTAACTATATATTTTCCTAAAAATTACTATTTAAAGCATTGTTTTTTTTTTTGAAAATAATGATCATCAAACGTGTTAATTTTAAATTTAACCAAGAACAAATGATTGACTTACACGGCAAAATTTTAAAATACTTAAAAAAATGCATTACTTACACGTATGACTACACGCATCGTTTGATTTAACTCATTGCATTCTATCAATGTTGGAAATTTTAAAGTCGCCGGGTTTCTCAATGATTCAATGTTGGGTGCACACTGATTTTTATGTATTTGAGAAAGGGAATATGGGACCCACAAAAATGGATTAAATTAATGAGTTTTAAGGTCAATGAAATTCAGATAAATACGTTCTGTTTTAGCATGATACATGAACTTCAAGTAGAAGACATGGCCAAGTAAAGCTTCTCTTTTCCTTTGCTATTCGAAAGGCGTGAAAATATATTTTTTCACGTTTGTGTCCCTGGATAAGCGAGGACGATATAACAAATTAAAAAGAATCAAACAATTTTTATGAATGAAGATCATTGATGCTGAAACAAAAATTTGTCCATCGCTAACTTCAAACTCAAGAATGCTCCCATGCCACGTTCTTTTTATTCAATTCCTTATTAAAGTTCAAATTTAATACTAGACTTTGATGCTTAATAAATAATTTGAGATAAGTATGAAATTTATGAGATTATGACCAAAATTTTTAATTGTAGAAGCTTGTATAAGATGACATTGAAATCCCGTGTGTGATTTTTTTATGATAGACGAAGCTTTATCAAGAATTAATTAATGGGACCTTTCTTCCAAGTTTAGTCAATCAAATAAGAGTTAATCTACTCTGGCAGGGATTGCAGCCAGAATTTGGTGACAACGATGACGTGGCGAGTTGTGATTCGCCTGTTTTTTTTTTTTAAATCCATCTTCCAATGATTTGGTGACAAGTGTTGTTTGTCACCAAACCCTGTCAAATATCCCTGTCACAGTAGCATTGTTGATCAAATAATGAATCCAAAACCTTAATGCTGATACACACACTCAGGTGGCATTTCATGAGGATTGGAAAGGTGAACAACCTCCTACCGTATCATTGGAACAAAAAATGGAAAATGATTTTTGTTTTCTAAAGAAATGTGAAATTCAATTTAAAAGGTGGAAGTCTTGCCATGTGGCCGGATTTAGCTTCAACGTTCATTTCGACTGATTCTTTAGTTGAAGCTACCGATGACCTAAATTAAAGAATGCATAGAAAGTTATTGGCAGTTTTGAAATGAAAATCGTACCAAAATCTTAGATTCAAAATAGTTACTAAGATTATTACATTATGTTTTCTATGAATCCTTTATGCATCACTCAACCCCGTTTTATGTTGGTGACCTTTACCACAATGCTCGGAAGTCCCTCTGTCTTTTAGCCTTTTGGAATCAGTGGAAAAAATAAATTCTTTTCCTATATAAAACCCTCGAGGGTATCGTATTGAAGCTGCCAAAAACTAGTCACTCTTTTTATAAAAAAAAAAAA